CCCCCCCCCCCCCGCCCGTGACAGGGTCGAATCCGCGGCGCCCCCGGTAGGGCGGCACCGCCTCTGACTTCGAGGCCTTCTCCGGCGGCGAGGTCCTTGGCGACGGCAACAGGCTCGATGAGACTGGCAGGGGCAGATCCGCGAGCCAACGGTATCACGGGTGTGCGGTCGGGGAACCTGGGCAACGCAAGAGCGATGGAGCTGCTGCCGCCGCCGCCGCCGCCGCTGCCGCACGAAACGGCACCAGTAGCATCAGCGGTGGCAGCGGCGGCGGGGACGTCCAAGGCGGCACCCGTAGTATCATCGGGCGCGACCACCGTGCCACTGGAGGTGGCATCCGTCGTAACGGCGGCGGCGGCGGCGGCGGCGGCACCCACCGCGGCGGCACAAGTGATAACGCCCACGGTGCCGACGGCGAGCGGAGGACAACCCGCTGCAGCAGCGGCAGAGGGGACCGGTGCCCCAGATGGAGCCGCAAGGGGGCCAGCGGATAGCGGCACTGTTGTTGTCGGTGGTGCCGCGGAGCCTCGTGTCCCCGTCGGCGCCGTTGCTGATACATCGGAGGCCGGTGGCAGGGGGAGCGCCGGTGCCGGCGCGGGTGTTGGTGTCGGTCGCGGCATGTTTTCCTCCGCTACCGGTATGGACGGGGGCGGCGGTGGCGGAGGAGGAGGAGGAAGAGGAAGAGGAGCCATGGCTGGGCCTGGTTCCGCGAAGGGTCACAACGAGGCGGTGGAAGCCTCGAGGAAAACTGGTATGGTCTTCTGAGTTATGTGGCTAGAAGACAGCATGAAGCTCGTTGCAGCCCATCAAATCGAGGACACGAGGCTCTTTTAGGTCTTCAGTCGGGATGGGGATTGGTGTCGTCTGCTTGGGTGTGGTGGTGTGGTTTGGGTACGGGGGGGGGAGGGGTACTCGAGAGTGCTGTGTTCTCGCTCGGTGGTATTTCCATGATGATTTTCATGAATGCCATGGCCGGGAATATTGTTGTTTGTTGTATTGTCTTACCACTGAAGAAAAAAAATAAAAAAGCGATGCTCGAACCGAGAGCACACAAGACGTTCTGCACCCAAACGGCTTTTTGTTATGCCGACCTGCCCTGTTTCGGAATGATGTCGAAGGAATAGCAACCGTGTTGGTCGGGCAACGTGGTAGATGGTTTGTGTGTGTGATCCTGCTGCACAATTTCACTCCTTCCTTTGCCCTCCTTGGGCTGCCAGACTTGATGCTCCCTGTTCTCTGGCGGGGGGTGGGTGTGCTCTCTGCTAGGTATCTCGGCAATTCGTAGTGCTGTAGGTGCCCTCGCGAAAAAGCGACGGGTGGGGATAGGGAGGAGGAGGCTTGATGTGGTGTTGTGTGGGGCGTGCATGAGCACCCTCCGTGCAGTCGCCGTTCGTTGGTGGTTGCGGGTGTGCTCGCGGAAGGCGATGTCCATCCTCAGGGCAACGTATCGCGAAATGGCGTGATGGTGCGAGGCCGTTGATGGCACTTGTTGCGTAAAGGCGTGTGTGTGTACATGGGTGGCGTGCTTGTGCTTTCTCCGTGTGTGTGCAGTCGTTGTTGCAAACCGGCAGGCACACGGCAAATTATTTGTGGACGATATTGTGTGCTGTGTTGTGTTGTCACCGGCCATGAATCCTGGGGCTATAGTGCTAGTCTACACATCGCCAAGTTCAAGTCTACATATTGCGAAGTGCGTGCCACAAATGTTTTTAAGGGTTGGACGCGCCAGCCAGCCTACGAGCAACGAAGACGACAACAGTTCTGTAGGCGATAGACACCATAGAGAGTAGCAGTGGGTAAGAGTTTTCGGATAGGAGGCTCGACTGGAGACGGCTTGCCCATAGGCACTCATTCGTGAACTTGCCAGAGCCGCCTCTCGGAATGTTTTTTTGCCGGCATCTTTTTTCCGTTGTGCGACCGAGGTATCGGTGGTGGATTTTCAGGTGATTATGTGGAAGTGGAAACAGCTGTTGATTCCATGAACATAAAAAAATTCAACAGTGACAATAGCGTGTGGATGTGGGGTTTGCAGGTAATAAAACGCTTGATGACGTCTGCAGTAAAGCGTCCGACAACGACAACCCACGCGAGGCAACCAGGTTCGATTCAAACGCGACCTGGATGGGTTTGACATGAATGAAAAAATATTACAAGTACGCATTTGAGAAGCAAATCAGTCGGTGCACCACCCCTCTCCGCCAACTGGAATCGCTCCAAATCATGGGCTACCACCCCCTTGAGCATTTCGACGACCTACTGTTGAAGCTGGTTGAGCTTCCACCCCTATGAAAAGATTTGGGGGCCTAGTGGGTGTGAGCACAAGATGAACCACAACGACGCCGGTGCCTCAAGATAGGTTGGTGCACAACCAACACACGAAAACGATAGGCTAACCGTATGTATCCACGCCTCCCTTCCGATAAGTCCGCAGCACGTCTCATCTGTGTACCATGTAGTAGCAACGAACACCTAGCCTGCCTGTGGCCGAAACATGCCGCACGAAAATGGATCAGCAATGCATAAAGCTTCCGGGCGGAGATCAAGCCTGTTTGAATTTCCGTAGTGTTCCGCAACCCGTGACATCTATACTGTACAATCCCCCCCCGCCCCCCCCCCTAGTGGTCAATGCGGTCTACCAACGAAGGCATGCAAAACATGAGAACGCCTCCCCTAAAAAAAACAGGAAATCAATAACCAAGTGCTGCGTAGGACGCGAAAACCAAAGGAGAAGGAACGATATATTACTAGGAGATAGCGAGAGCACTTGTGTGCTACCGTACCAATACCCCATCCTGGCTTTCTGTAAGACGCTGCCCTGCTCTGTGTCCAGAATATACCACATGGCACTACCAAGCACCTCTCCAGCACAAAAAACGAAACGTTACACTCCGTGGAGCCCCCCGACCGTGCCAGTTCTTGCCAGCTTCTCGCGCGTCGCTTCGAAACCCCCTACAGGTATCTAGTCAAGGTACATATAGCACAGGTCAGCCGGAATTTCATGAAAGTCCCTCCCGAACACAGTTAACCCTCGCTTTTGCAAGCAAGCACACACCAACCGCGGCACACTCTTCAGGCGACCACACAAATACTAGGCCGCTCCTCCCCCCGCCGCCGCGCTGCTCTCCGAGGAGGAAGCAACAAACTCCGAACAAAAGTACGGAAACGCCCCGGAGTTTTCTCCCGCACCCTCGGCACACGCCCGGCAGACCGGCCCGCCGGACCCGCTCCCCCCGTACAAAAGCCTCGGCATTTGTTGCGAACTCCCCGCCCCACCGCCGGCACCGCCCTATGGGGTATGACTATATATATCAACCTTTTTTTTATAGGTCATGCCCCATAGGCACCGCCGCTAACGCTGGCGGGGTCTTTGACCACCGGTGCCGCCCCATGAGCGTCGGCGCAGTCGCACCCGTCGGTGCAGCAGGGGACAGGGGCGGCGGCAGGGCACAAGGCAGTGGTGCCTTGGAGAGCGAGGCTGTCCCACATCCCGAAGCTGCGCAGCTGGTGGGCCAGCTTCTTGTTGAGGATTAGCTGCCGCTTCGCCCGCTTGACCGCCACGTACAGCAGGTTGGCCTGCGTGAGAAACATGGAAAGAGGCGGGGGGGGTACTCACGTTTTGCATGCTTTACCTGTTAAGACCATGCGGACGATCACTGCTCCGGAAGGACCAATCACCGGTGGTCAATCATTCCTTCCTACTAGAGCGGGGGGGCGACGCTATGAGGTTTATCAACGTGTTTGCTGAATCCACCATTCATCCGCTTTTCACCACCAACGAAAACCGTAAGCTACGAAAGCCGCGAGAGTCTCCACGTCGCTATGAGCGTCCAATCTCCCACAGAAAGAACAACCAATGCCCGTAGCTAATACACACGTGCACACAATTCAAGAAACTGACACGGTACGTCCGCCTGTACAGCACACGCGATGACAGCCAATCACCAACCACGAAACCGGGAGAGAGAAAAAGTTCAAGTGTGCTGCTGCGTGCGTAGCTCCTGTCTTCTCAATAGCTAGAGGGTGGGGTACCAACGTATTTGTCACCCATGAATATACCTCCGTCTCAGGAAGCTTTTATCCTTGATACCCTTGTTGAAAATCGAGCGGGGGGTGTACTCGTAACCGTGCACAACGTAGTGGTTAGACCACTGACCTTGCACCCGTACAACGCCGGGACGGAGCGACATGCCGGATTTTCGCCGATGATCTAGGATACTACGTTTTCACGAGGGTGAATCAGAACCTGGTGATAAACCTTGTGGGGGGTGCTCATAGCCGTTCATGCCATAGACCATTGACCTCGAATCCCTACAAAGCCGGATCGTCATCCCAGCGTTTTTTTTTTGGGGGGGGGTTCTCTTTTTGTTTTGCATGCCAAAGTGGTTAGACCATTGACCACGCGTCCTCGAGAGGACGGAGCATCGTTCCCACAGGACTGATCACCAATGGCCAATCGTTCCTTTCTTCTTTGCCAAAGGTGGCTCAAAAATGTCTTCCCTAGTCTATCTAATCCTAACGATATCCCTTCCCGCCTTTCAAACCGCTTCCCACTCCCCAGTACATCTACCGTCCTTTCCTTTCTAGTCCATGCCTCAAACATCTCTCTGTGCCTCCCTTGTATTTTTCCCAGCTCAGTCATGTACACTTCTCTCTCCTCTTCGTACAACTGACATTCCGCGACTACATGAACACGGTCTTCGCATTCGAAGCCGCAATCACATTTGAACTTGTCGTCTTCGTCGTCTACCGTCCTAT